GAATGAAAAGAAGAAGTATTCCAGTACAGCAAAAAGTGTATCTGCAGAGAGCTCCGCTATTTCTGACAGTTCTCTGACAGTTCCAGCGGTTGACAGCGGTTGAAACATTGTATCTATTTATTTCCGAATAAAAACATCTGTATCCTAAATGGAAACAAATAGATACAATGTTTCAACCGCTGTACATGTGAAGGAACTGTCAGAGAACTGTCAGAAATAGCGGAGCTCTCTGCAGGGACACTTTTGCCGGCTGATCGGGAAAAATCCGATTCGCGCACCCGAATTATGCAAATATTCGGATTCGACGCGAATCAAATTTTTCCTGAAATTCGAAACGAATTCCACTTCGCCTGGTTCGATTCGCTCATCTCTAATTATCATGATTTATGTTATCTGAGCTCTTTTGCTTTTATACTGAACTGTGGTTCACCAACATTTTTTAATTATGAATGGGGCTCATGAGCATGCAGACATTGTTTTTGTAGGCATAACCAGAGCCATTACAGTTCACATCATTTATAAGGAGCCCAGCAGCACAGAAGGCCCACAGAGAGCAACAATCTACACTGACTATATGCATAGCAATAGCAAAAATAGAGAAACTGTACAAGGAACCCCCCCATGATTATGTAAATAGTCTGCATTGTTTGACAGTAGTAGAGGCAGAAAACTGTCCAGCTTTCAAATTTAAAAGGTGTAATTTCTGCCCTTAGAATATCCCACCAAGATTTCCCTAACTCTACGTTAAAGACATTTTCTCCAAAGATCTTAGTGTTTAATAAATAATTACAAGCTCTTCACTTTTTGAAACACAAACCCTGACCTGGTAATGTTATTGAAACCAAGTTACTACTATTCGCATTTTCTTTTTTCAGCCCAAAGGGTGACTAAGCCTAAGAACAACAATGCAATATATTGCAGCTTACAGTCCTTAAATATGGTGACTGCTTTAGTTTTCTAAACAACATTTTCAGCAAGTACAAAACTACCTGTTGATTTTGTCTTCAAATGCAGTGCCCTTGTCACTTCTTGTGAGCGGCAACAAAGAATATCTTCCTTTGTGAGCAGCACTGAAGAATATTTTTCTTTCTAGTTATCTCGTGCAAGCTACCAATTGCCCTGCCCTCTTATAATTGAGATGACGTGATAGGGACATGTTTGGGATCCATATCAGAAGTGCAGCCTAGGGTGATACCCATGGCTGCCTCAATAGGTTTACTGGAGGAGTGACATAGCCACCCAGGGATGGGAAGTATGTTATTTGCAAGATTGCAGCCACCACACCAAAAGCTAGTAAGCTGCAACATGTTATATTTTTGGGTTTAGATACACTTCGTACAGAATGTCAGTAGCTACTTATTTTTATCTATATGTAGATCATATTACATCATATACTTTGATGTAATATCACTTTCACTTAATAGATATGTGATATATATCACTTATACACAAGATCACAGCAAGAGAAAAGTCCTGCTCTCACTTTTGCCAAGGGGGTTCTCAGTCTAGTGACTGCACAAAAAGACTGATGAAAAGGCTGTGTTGAAAACCACTGAGCAGGTCCTATTGAAAAAATATGTCAAGTAATGAAAGAAAAGACAATTGCTTGATGCAAATAATGCATGAACATATTAAAACACAAACCAATACAGTTATGTATTCATCGAAACCTAAACTTTGGGCTTATAATAAAAATATAAATCCAACTCCCCTTTCCCCACAACCACCACCCAAGTAGATGAAAAATATATTGCTTGTTTTGTCAATGGGATGAACCATTACTTACATATACACTATACTGCCAAAGGTATTGGGACGTCTGCCTTTACACACACATGAACTTTAACCTCCCTGGCGGTATGATTATTTCAGATTTTTGGTGCTGAAAGCGGTACCATTTTTTTGCATGGAAATATGTATTTTTTTTATTGTAGGCTGTAATTTTTAGGAAAAACTCACTGAAATCTGTCCGAAAAAGAGTCTAGTAAACATCCCGGGTATGATAAAATTTGAAACACAAAATCATAAATTATAATTTAATAAATAATCATAAAAAAAATATAAAAATAATAAAATATTTAATTCAATAATATAATCAAACCAAAAACACTAAAATGTGAAATAGAGCGCCAAGTTCGCACATTGCTGAGCTCAGTCGCAAAATCGTTTTCAGTGTCTGATGATGAATTTCCCCCACGAATCATTATCACTCAATTCTGTAAGTGGTTCTGAATTACTATCGCTGTTCTCTAGCTGGTCTAAACCGCTTTTGACCTAAAGGGACACTTTTTGGACGCCATGGACATTTCTCAGTTTCCAGGCAGAAAGAACAGACAAAATGCAGGCAGGGCACAGGACAAAGCACTAGGGACAATATGTATGTGAAATAGGTTGAAACAGCAATGTTTTACTGTGTAAAATGAAAAAAAAAAAAAATGACATTTTTTTAAAATTTTTAAATTTCCCGCCGCCGGCGGCGGCGGCGGCGCCCGTACGTCCCGACGTCACAGGGACAGGACACAGAAGCCGGATGCCGGCATCGGCCGGAGGAGATGGCCGGGGACGCTGCAGGGGACACATCGTGGGAGCGCAGGGTAAGGTAAGTGAAGAACACATGCCGGAGCAGCGCCGCATGGTATTCCCGAGTGTAGCTCGGGGTTACCGCTTTTGGTACTGAAATGTTACCCCGAGCTACACTCGGGAATACCGCCAGGGAGGTTAATGGCATCCCAGTCTTAGTCCGTATATTATGTTGGCCCACCGTTTGCAACTATAACAATTTCAACTCTTCTGGGAAGGTTGTCCACAAGCTTTAGAAGTGTGTCTATGGGAATGTTTGACCATTCTTCCAGAAGCCCATTTGTGAGGTCAGGCAGTGATGTCAGACGAGATGGCCTGGTTCGCAGTCTCCGCTCTAATTCATCCCAAAGGTGTTCTATGGGGTTTAGGTCAAGACTCTGTGCAGGGCAGTCAAGTTCCTCCACCCCATACTCACTCATCCATGTCTTTATGGACCTTGCTTTGTGCACTGGTGCTCTGTCATGTTGGAACAGGAAGAGGCCATCCCCAAACTGTTCCCATAATGTTGGGAACATGAAATTGTCCGAAGTGTCTTGGTATGCTGACACCTTAGGAGTTCCCTTCACCGGAACTAGGGGGTCAAGCCCAAAACCTGAAAAAAACAACCGACACCATAATCCCCCCTCCACCAAACTTTACACTTCGCACAATGCAATCAGGCAAGTATCGTTCTCCTGGCAACCACCAAACCCAGACACGTCGATCAGATTGCCAGACAGAAAAGCGTGATTCGTCACTCCAGAGAACACGTCTACACTACTTTACACCACTGAATCTGGCGCTTTGCATGGCACTTGGTAATGTAAGGCTTGGATGCAGCTGCTCGGCTATGGAAACCCATTCCATGAAGTTCTCTATGAACTAATCTTATGCTAATCTGAAGGCCACACAAAGTTTAGAGGACTTTAGCTATTGACTCTGCAGACAGTTTGCGACTTCTGCGCAGTGTGTGCTTCAGCATGCGCTGACACTGTTCTGTCATTTTTCTTGGCCTACGTTGCTGTTGTTCCCAGTTGCTTCCACTTTGTTATAATACCACTAACAGTTGACCATGGAATATTTAGTAGCAAGGAAATTTCACGGATGGATCAGATTGCCAGACAGAAAAGCGTGATTCGTCACTCCAGAGAACACGTCTACACTACTTTACACCACTGAATCTGGCGCTTTGCATGGCACTTGGTAATGTAAGGCTTGGATGCAGCTGCTCGGCTATGGAAACCCATTCCATGAAGTTCTCTATGAACTAATCTTATGCTAATCTGAAGGCCACACAAAGTTTAGAGGACTTTAGCTATTGACTCTGCAGACAGTTTGCGACTTCTGCGCAGTGTGTGCTTCAGCATGCGCTGACACTGTTCTGTCATTTTTCTTGGCCTACGTTGCTGTTGTTCCCAGTTGCTTCCACTTTGTTATAATACCACTAACAGTTGACCATGGAATATTTAGTAGCAAGGAAATTTCACGGATGGACTTATTGCACAGGTGGCAACCTATCACGGCACGATGCTTGAATTCACTGAGCTCCTGAGAGTGACCCATTCTTTCACAAATGTTTGTAGAAGCAGTCTGCATGCCTAGGGCTTGATTTTATACACCTGTGGCCATGGAGGTGATCAGAACACCTGAATCCAATGATTTGGAGGGGTGTCCCAACACATTTGTCAATAAAGTGTATCTATGTACTGTCACAATACATAGATACTTTCTTACAGCTTTTGGTTCAAGAACTACCATTATACATCAGGGATTCTGTTGATACTTATTGAGGAATTTTACATGGGAGTCCAATCATAGTTGGCTATCTCTGGATATGACCTCTTTATACACCACCTTTCCCCATCAGATAGGTCTCCAGGCTGTGGAATATTTAATTTCATATCACTCAGAATGAAATTACTAACAAGTTCAATTCATCTTTGAAACCACCAAATATTGTCTCAAACATAATTATTTCTTGTTTGATTGTCAATGTTACCTCCAGGTAAATGGTACAGCTATGGGGGCCTCTTTTGCCCACAGCTATGCCAATCTAACTATGGGGCTATGGAAATTTCATCACCTTAATCACCATTATCCCTTTGCTCAGCATATTATTTTTTTACGGGAGGTATATTGATGTTATTGTCATTATTTGGGGTGGGCCACCTACGAAGGTTCTAGAATTTGTCCAATACTGTAATGTCAACATGTTTGGACTATCTTTTACCCATGTATTTGACCAACAACCCCTCATTTTCCTTGATTTGATATTAGGCTATATGGCTACCCACATCATTACAAAGAAATATTTTAAAGAGACTGCGGGTAATTCTTATGTTCATTCTAGCATTTGCCATAACCCCAGATGGAAACAAAACATCCCAAAAAGCTGATTTCATCAGCTCCGCAGAAACTGCACACTGGATGTAGACTATTTAGACCAAGGCAAAATCCTGCTACATAAATTCAGTGAAAAAAGTTACACTGCTAACACATTCATCACACCTTTGCCACTTACAGAAATCCTCCTGAGAGAACCCATAGTCCCCCAACTAAAGAAAATCTCACCAGATTTATAACACAATTCCACTCCCAATATAAATGGATGGAAAAGATCTTTAAGAAAATGTGGGGAATATTGTTACAGGACTCCATCTTGAAACATACATTACCTCCTCAGGTCAGGTCATAGGTGTCATAAGAAAAAATGTTTAACCTGTGCTTTTGTCCCAAATAGCCTCAAATGTTTTGAGGTCAATGGTAAAAACTATCCTATTTCTCATTTTTTTACATGTTCTACAGATTATGTTATTTATGCACTCAGGTGCCCTTGTGGTTTACTTTATATTCCTAGGAGACATGCCAGAGGGTATGGTTTGTGGAGTGGTGCAAGCCTGAGGCCATCTTACACATGTTAACCACATAAAGTGGGGAAAATCATTTTTTGATCCCCTGCAGATTTTGTAAGCTTGCCCATTTACAGAGAAATTAAGGGTCTATAATTTTTTATCACCTGTATATTTTAAATGATATAGACAGAATATCAACCAAAAATCCAGAAAAAACACATGATACAAATGTTAAAAATTGAGTTGCAGTTCAGTGAGTAAAATAAGTATTTGATCCCCTACCAACCAACAATAATTCTGGCTCCCACAGACTGGCTATGTGCTCATGTAGTACACAGATTAGTCCTGTCAATGTAAGACGGTGTTCATTATGTGTATAAAAGACACCTGTCCACAGAATCTCTTTCTTCCATTTAAACCTCACAAACATGGGCAAGCCCAAAGAGCTGTCAAAGAATATCAGGAACAAGATTGTAGATCTGAACAAGGCTAGAATGGACTACAAGACCATCAGCAAGAAGCTTGGTGAGAAGAAGACAACTGTTGCAGCGATTATTTACAAATGGAAGAAATACAAAATAACCATCAATCGCCCTCGGTCTGGAGCTCATGATCATGAGAAAAGTGAGGGATCAGTTCAGATCTACATGGGAGGAGCTTGTGAATGATCTCAAGGGAGTTGGGACCACAGTCACCAAACAAACCATTGGTAAAACAATACGTCGCCATGGACTGAAATCCTGCAGCGCCCACAAGGTCCTCCCCCTCAAGAAGGCACATGTACAGGCCCATCTGAAGGGCTGCTTCTCTGCTAAAGGTACAGTCTGACTTTGCCGCATTGAGGGGCCAATGGACGGAGCCATGTATTGTAAAATCTTGGATGAGAATCTTCTTCCCTCAGCCAGAATACTGAAGATGGGTGATGGATGGGTCTTCCAGCATGAAAATGACCCAAAACATACTGCCAAGGCATCAAAGGAGTGGCTCAAGAAGAAGCACATTAAGGTCATGAAGTGGCCTAGCCAGTCTCCAGACCTTAATCCTATAGAAAATTTATGGAGGGAGCTGAAACTTCAAGTTGTCAAGCGACACTCAAGAAACCTTAAAGTGTTACTAAACCCAGGACCCTGCATTCACTATATCTGGTCTCCCACAGCACACAGAACATGGAAGTACAATTATTTTAGTAACTATAAACTGATAAATACCTTTTCTCATCAGCAGTTAGAGCAGTCTTGTGACTTCTATCAGTGTCCAGTTGAGCACATGTTAAAACTTGTAGGAGGAGGTTTTATTCTGCTCTAGGAAGATGCAGAACTCCTGGCCTCTGTCTGGACAGTGCTAATTGGCCCTGTGCTGATCACATGTGCTCTACCAAGAGAAAAAAAAACTCTCTAGAAATACACACCAAACTGAGTATGTGTAGAGTGTCTCCACACGATATGTCTTATCAGGAAACAAGACGGGGATACTAGAAGAAGGGAAGGATCAGAGAAGTCAGGATCAAACAACGTTTTTACACAATGCAGAGGAATAACCCCTTAGGTTCCACGGTGAGTATAATAAGCATGCTTTACTGCATATATATAGAATGATTTCACTTTAAGGATTTAGAGAAGATCTGTAAAGAAGAGTGGACCATAATCCCTCCTGAGATGAGTGCAAACCTGGTAACCAACTACAAGTAACATCTTACCTCTGTGCTTGCCAACAAGGGTTTCTCCACCAAGTACCAAGTCATGTTTTACTTGGGGATCAAATACTTCTTTTAATCACTGAACTTCAACTCAATTTATAACATTTGGATCATGTGTTTTTTCTGGATTTTTGGTTTTTCTGTCTCTATGATTTAAAATAGACCTATGATAAATATTATTATTTTTCCCACTGTAGACTGGATTGAGTTGAGTGCTGATTTTTCTAAGTATGCTACACACTACTGGATAGTGATATTTTGAGCCAGCACCCCGTTCCTGAGTACCAGCGGGACTATATACATTCTCCTTCTTTGCTTAGTGCAGCACTACAAGTATTAGCAACCCTATTCCAGTTTTCTCCTCACCGATCCCAGTTGTGACAATGGCTCCAGTGAAGCCACTCTAACTGGCAAACTCCAACCAATCTTGTTGACCCCACCCCCCTCTCGCCGACATCATCAAGTACAACACAGGACCTGTGGTCTTGCAATTTATGCTAGGAAGTAGGTTCTCTGTACAGTAGCACTCCAACTTGAAGAGTGAGGGCCAGCACAAGTTGCAATTAAGGTTATGTTGCAGTGTACATACAGTGTATATACAGACAGTGAATGTGCTGAACTCATTAGTATGCTGCTGTTCCTTCCTTGTTCGATTAGCACGCTGGGGGTTTGTACTTGAACACACTAGGCTGGAACAATAGTGAACTGAAAGCTCTCATTATTATTTATTATTTATTTATTTTGTTTAATACATAATAGAAATTTATGTCAGGAAACAAAGTGACTGCTATGTGATGAGCAAATCAATTTACAATTCGGTCAAAATGAAGAAAAGCAAATGGTTTCATGTTTGAATATATGATTTCGGATATGTTCAGTCCACAGAAGATCATATGATTCTAGAGTCATGATTGCCTGGACTATTGATATATATGATTCTCCACAAATCAGCAAGATTTGCAAATAATCAGGTGAATCCTTCTCATTTGAGCATCACTATACGATAATCAATTCCAGCTTTTCACAAAGCAATTAATATGCAAACCAAACTGCGCCATTATGCATTTATATGAATCATCACTTTATTTAAACCTACAGAGCACAAAAGACCTGCTTTAGATAGTGAACTGAATATGTCATTTGAAATAGAAATACATTCTGTCTTTCTTTCTTTGCAACTGCATTTTCTGTGGATTCAGAAACTGAACCCATTCCAGCTGTTTAACTTTATTCACATGTCAATCAGTTACACTGCCAGCTGGACCATGGTTTTTTGTGGCCACCACTGGACCATTCTAACTCATGAATATGTATTGACCTTTGTCTACATATTATCCCCAGGAAAAGGCTGTGTAGGACAATAATGCATAGCCATTGTAATATTCAAAAGATAACATTACAATTAAAAAGATATGAAAAAACAGAGTTGTCCGTTGTAACCAATCAAGTTCTTTCATATTTCAAGCGTAAATTAGAAAAGAAAATAGGATGACAGACTACATCTGAGGACCATCTATCATTTTCAAATGTGTCAAAATAACAACTTATTTGAGTGCATAGAATCCAAATTTGTAACCTTTTTAGTTTGTCTAATATCATCCAGTGCATCTTTTTATGCATTTGGACATGGATTAGTCCCTGATGTTCAAGGAACTCTGCATGTGAAGTTCAACTACTGCTGATAACTGAGCCTTGATAGTAAAGTACCTATTACAACAAATCAATACACATCATACTGCAGTCAGGAGCAGAAGAAACTCTATACTGACAACTATTAAAACAAAGATAAATAACCTCTTTATCATATTGTAAATACAGCATGTTTAATACACTGGGTCCACAGCATGTCTTCAATGTAAAGGGAAATGATCGATTTCTAAATTTTCAAGATCAGCAGGTTATCAATGAAAGAAAATGAAAAATGATAGTAATAGTCCAATATTCAATGAAAGAAAAGATGAGATGAGTAATATGCCTGGTAAAAGGTATCAATAAATAAAATATAATAGTTCCAAGCAGTTGTGCAACAAAGTGGTCCCATATGGACA